AACGATCCCTGATGAAGGTGAGGGAGCCGTGAATATTCATAGGCATGCTGTAGCATGACGAATGCATCCTACAAATACTGCAGCCCCTTGTGCATGAACCAACCACATCTGCTTTTGTCTCTGACTAGGGGTTCGAGCAGGAATCCGAAACGTCAGGTTAATAAAGCTCTTGTCACAACCATCGTGTATCCTTCTTCACGACTGCTTCCTGGGACTCGTCTCTTCGCTTCTTTTGGCAAGTATGGAAGTGTTGCAAGCGATACTTAACAAGGTGCAAAAACGGTACACACTCTCTAGCAAAGATTTACATAATGATGATGGTAAACGCAAATAAAATGGTTCGGTTAACCACCATGATTGCAGCCATTGTCGATTTTCTACTCCAAACATTATGAAAAACAGCATGGTAATTTACCGGAATTTACGGCATGGTGAGGGTTAATTGGAGCATTCGTTTTGAATGCAATTACGACGAGTATCATGCGACGTCCTGTCATACCAAGTATTGGAGAGGTGTCTGGAGATGGAGGGCCGTATTACCACCAAGACTGGGCAATTCCACACCACCGTCTTGATTTAAGATTTTGTCCTTTTAAGATCTTGGCAAATAAGTAAAATAGGTTAGAAAACCGCCAACAAGTACTTACATACCAAACAAAGTGTTTGCTCGTAATCACAGTTATACCACTTAGTGTTATTAGCAGCAGTGAATGAACTATAACGCACATAGTTCTTGAAGTGAGGAGTACTTTAAAGAGCGCCGAATTTGCGATTATTCACTGGCAAAAGAAGTGGTTCAGCTCAGCGGTAGAGGTTTGTACTTAGTTTGAAGTTTCAATTGGTAGATTTGGCAACTCATATTTAATGGTCGAAGCTTCCTGGAGATCCACCAGTTATCGTCGTGGCCACTGGAGACGGGAGGGGGGAGGAAAAACAGGCCACGGTGGAACAGGGGTCAGAATCAACCCAACGGTCGACATTGGCGACGTACGCATCAGGTGAAATGTGTCGTACTTTGAGAGCTGGGCACAGGACTCCCAGGAGGGTGATCGAAATAGCCACTACCGGTAGAGGCATATAGACCAGTTCCAGGAAGCAGTCCAGAAAAAGGTGCGATCGCTGTAACAAGAGGTTTATCGACTTGACGTTTCAAATGCTCACTTGAATTTATCATTAGAGGCAATCACAGACAAGGGTAATGGAGGCACGTGCAACGCGATATTTATAGCATGAAGATAACATTTCACCACACACTTACTATAACTAGCAGCATCGGCGTTCACTACTGAGGGTCCTATTTAATGCGGTAATTTCTTTTAGTCCACACCCTAGTCGTTAATCGTAGTGATTTTGTCCCCGTTGTTTGTGGTTGATGTGATGATTACTCGGCCATTTGACTCGCCGTCAGTGGACCTGTCAGCCGTTCGCGCCCTCCCCGCCTGGCTAATTACTTCGCTTACGCAAACTTTCAGCACTGAATAAGGAAGCGTGCGGTCACTTTACTTTTTAATTGACCGCGGGCCGGCGACTTGAGCAGCTCGAGGCTGATGCAGTTGTCGTCTCTAAGGCGCATTTCACCTTCGTAAAGCTTGAAGATGTGGTTAGCTTTCGTCAAGGGAGCCACAACTCGAGAGCTGGCGTTTTTCCTCCACACTGCTGCCGCCACTTGTCCAGCCAGTTACCTCCCTGTTTCCTAGACTAAGTAGCTTTATTCACAACCGCAGAACCCCAGACGCTTCCTGTCATGACAGTGGATCCTTAGGCCTCATGAAGTGACGCCTGATAATGACCTCCGGTCCGTGTGCAACCCAATCTCCAAATGATGAGAGAAGGCGGTTGACGGCTTCCAAGACCTTATCAACGTAGGGGAGCGTCCGTCAAAATTTTTGGTCGGTTGGTTTGGGGTTCTCATCTCGTTTACGCATGTAGCGGCCAAGTAAGTTGTGTCGGTAATCATTCGCTCTTAACAACCGCCAAAGGTGTTGCGATTCAGAGACCTTGTCTTTCGCTTCCCTTTAATTAAAGACCTTAACCTCAACGACATGATGATGTTCTCGCTAAATGTCTCATCACTTTTTGCAAACGTTCCCGTTACCGAGACAGTTGAATACATCTGTGAATTTCTACCAAACAATCAGCAGGAAATAGGAATTCCGAGCAAGACACTCAAGGAACAATCTCTAAGCTGCACATTAAATGTACAGTTCCTGTTTGACAACCAACTCTATAGACAAATAGACGGCGTTGCTATGGGCTCGCCTCTTGGACCACTCCTAGTCGATGTCTTCATGGGCAAATTGTAAAGATACCAGGTAAGCGATCAGATCAAAAAACTTAAACATAACGGCCGTCATGTTGATGATATCTTAGCAATTGCCACAGCAGAAACCGAAAAAGATTCCCTCTTAAACAATGCAAATCAGGCACATCAAATTTATTTTGGAGATCAAAACTGTCAGTTCGTTCCCTTTCTTAGATGTTTTTCTAAGCAGGAGACCTGACGGGAGTATCGCAAGACGCGTTCACCGGAAGAAAACCTGGTCTGCACAGTACACAAACTTCGCTAGTTTCATACGCCCACTACAAAAACGAAATCTAGTCCGACGTTTTACACAAAGAACTAGAAAAATTTGCTCAACAGATAGCATCACAGAGGAGCTTAGAAAGTTCCAGGACTTCGTTTGTGAAAACGGGTACCCGGACAGAATAATGGCAAAGAATATGGCCAAACGACCGACAAAACCCGCCAAACCGACTGCCAAAAAGAAAACTCTGTTCCTTAAAATCCCTTTTCAAGGGGACGCTGCGAGTAAACTCCTAAAGAGACGCCTTGCTCAAGCTGTTTCGCGAACCTTTCGAGCGACAAGGGCTCAAGTATCCTTCTCTACTAACCCTATTTTACGCGGAGAAAGTAAGGATGAGTTGCCACCCCAGACCACTTCAATGCGCATCTATTCCTTTACTTGCTCCTGTGGGGCAGGTTTTATTGGTCTCACAAGTCGGCGCTTATCCAAGAGAAAGGGCGAACACCTCTCGAAGTGGCTGGGAAAAGGCGAAACTAGGAGCATAAGCAGCGCCATTCTCGCGTATGTTGCCCATTCCGGACATCATGTAGACCCCAGCGTAGCGTTTTGTGTGATCTATAAGGTCCCATCAAGCTATCCTAAACCACTAGGACAGCGCCTGTTAGCAACAACAGAGGCGGCCGCCATCAGGCTACGAAAACAGATCTTGTGCTCACAGAAGAACCACGTTATGGCTCCGTGCCTACAGTGGTCGAAGGTCGACTAACGCTACAACTCTCCCGCGCCCTTCCGCTCTCACTCCGACCCTCACACTTACTGCCATTACCCCCACCCCCTACATTCCCACACAAAATCTGTGTTTTAAGGCGAACTTTAATCGATTTATATTATCACTGACGTGTTTTTACTTCTACCCCCTTCCCATATAATTGGACTAGCCAGACGAGAATTTATCGAAAAGTACGTTTGCTTGCCACCTCGTCTTCTGATCATTTCAATGCGTCAAAAGAAGGTAGGCCCGCAAAAATCCCTGGTGAAGCCCTCATATACTTTTGCCATGACACTCTAAAATCATATTTTCACTAATGTTTATTTAAAATGTGCATACATTTTTGGGATTGGCTCCCCTCGTGGCCGGCCGAACTGCTGCAAAATACAGGTTTCAAAAAAACGTATAGCACGCGCAGGACGTCCAAAGTGTTTCCAAAGTTGACGTTGACAATCAAAGCAGGATTTTATGATAGCAAAGCGGAACATTCAGTTCCGAAAAGCCAGTCTTCATATCTTTGCCCTTTATGGGCGACATTATTTAAAATACTTTCAAACGACGGCTGGTTTCCACCACTGAAAGGGCATACAATAAGCAGAACTCGCATTATGCAGTCCTACTAAGCCTCTTCCGATCCCACGGGCAAAGGATGCCCTGCCAATGCACGCCACTTCAAGGTGTGTTTATGAATTCCCACGCACTTGCGGATGCAAGTAAAGTAGGCGAAAGCAAAGACAGTTGGCAGCCAGGTCTATTGAGCACCTCCCCAGATGTCTCCTAAGGCAAGTAAATAAAATCCCACCTTCCTCCATTACGAAACACCTGCTTGACAGTGGTCTCTCTGTCGATCCCAAAACTTCCTTCCAAGTATTTGTTCGGCACGAACAACTCGGACATTGCGTTACCTAGAGGTGGCCTATATACGGCGGGTGAAACCAGATCTTTGTATGCAGTTGGAACACGCGGTTAGCCTAACATTTCCATGGAAGCCTCTACCTCCATGATTTTATCTTACCCTCTCCCTTTTTGCTCGTTAACGTCCCTCTTTGCATTTTTCACTATTCTTCCCATACAATATTTTAGTTACTAACTTTATCAGTTAGCCAGCGTTACCCAAATCCATGAGATTGTTGTTTTGGCATTGATTGTCTGCACGAATTCAAATCTGTTGTATTCTTCGCACACGTTATCCATGTTATGAAACGACAGGACGCAGCTGACGAGCTTTCGCGAAATTTTTTGGTACCATTAAATCCTGCCCTGCTTGCCCACTTCAGCCTTGTGCCCAGGACAAAATATTTCCAAAGTGTTATCGAAGGGCTTCATAGCCTTTACATGACAGCGTCTGCTATGCTCTTGAGTCTGGTGTGTGCTGCTGATTCTTAGGCACACGGTTCCTCCTGGTAGACGCGCTTGCTCTTCCGCTGGATATAAAGATCCTGTGCACGCTGCCAAATCATCCGTGGCGTTTTTCTGGCCCATTGTTGTGCTGCCATCGACAAAAAATCCTGTTCGGGTGTTTTGAAGAAGAAGACACAATCGCCGGGACAAGAGCTTTATTAGCCTGACGTTTCGGATTCCTGCTCGAATCCATCATCAGAGACAAGCAGAGAAGGGTGGCTCATGCACATGCGGCTGCAGTATTTATAGGATGCAGTAGCCATGCTACCGCATACCTATGAATATTCACGACTCCCTCCCCTTCATCAGGGATCGTTGCCCGTGGCGTGATGGCCGACATTCGCGTCGTTAATTGCTGCAATTTCATCACGTGCGTTGGATGTTGGTGTGGTGATTGCTCGACCATCTGACGCGCTGACCCTCGTGTTGGGAAGAGTGTTCACCTGTGCGCTCCGCGCGTGACCAATTACTCCGCCTAGGCGAAGTCTCAGCACCGAGTATGGAATGGGAAGATCATTGCACTTGTTAATAGACTGGGGGCCAGTAAACCATGACTCAAGCAGCTCCCGGCTGACGCGGTTGTCACCATTTGCGAGAATTTCGGCCTCGTCAAATTTGAATGTGTGGCCGGATCTCGTCGAATGAGTGGCAACTTGAGAGCTGGCGTCATTTCTCCGCACTGCTGCAGCGTGTTCGGCCATTCGCGTTCGGAGCTGTCTTCCGGTTTCTCCGACGTAGTTGTTTTGTCCGCAACTGCACCAGATCCGATAAACGACTCCAGACGTTTCTTGCCGTGGCAGTGGGTCTTTTGGTTTCATCAACTGACGCCTGATGGTTGCCTCCGGTCTGTGTGCAACTCCAACCCCAAGTGGTGCGAGAAGGCGGCCAACAGCTTCCGAAACGTTCTTGACATATGGAAGCGCACGCCAAACTTTGGTGTCCGTGCGGTTAGGCCTTTCGTCCATTTTGCGTATGCACCGGTTGACAAAGTTGCGCGGGTAGCCATTGGCTTTGAAGACCCGTCGTAGGTATTGTAGTTCGGCAATCTTGTCTTCCGGCTCACTGCAGTGCGTTTCGACACGCCGATAGAGCGTCCTTACACAACTGCGTTTGTGGCTGATTGGGTGGTTACTGTTGAAGTTCAGTACTTGCATCGTATTTGTCGCTTTCCTGAACACTTTGGTCTTTAGTCCACCACAATCCTTGCGGCATACGAGGACATCCAGGAAGGCCGGCTGGTTGTTCTCTTCCTCCTCCATCGTAAATTGTATGTCCGGGAAGACCGCATTCAGACGTTCCTTGAATGTCAGCAGTTGATCCCGATCGATAACGACGAAGGTGTCATCCACATACCGGGCCCAGAACTTCGGTTTGTGGTGTTGGAAGACCAGCGACTCTAACCGTTGCAGGACCGCCTCGGCGATGAACCCCGAAATCGGTGAACCCATTGGTGTGTCCCTCACCTGTTCGTAGATTGTCCCGTCGAACGTGAAGTACGTCCTGAGACAGAAATTCAAGAGCTGAAGGACTTTGGCGCGTTCAAGACGATTCTCCGCTGGATATAAAGATCCTGTGAATGATGACAAGTCATCATCGGTGTCTTTCTGACCCATTGTTGTGCTACCATCGACAAAAATCCTGTTAGGGTGTTTGTTGTAGACCAGAGTGTGTGACGGCACGCCTAGATGAGGGTTCAGCTGTGCCAGCCACCTGTGCCCTCTCCCGCCTCCGGTCTTCTTGGCTATGTCTTAACACTTGTTTCACCGGGGCGAAGGAATACGGTAGATGCTGCGAAAGTCTACCATCACAATAAACCAAACAACGCGCAAGTCACTGTGCCTGTTTTATCTAGCTGTGGAACACACGGTAAACATCGGTCGACAGACATTGGAACTGTGGCTTGACAATCTGCTTAGAGTAAATGAATTTTCCCGAAGATTGGGTTGCCAAAAGGACGTCTTTTAAAGTATCGTCTTGGCAACGCCGTTTCAGTGGTAATAGATCGTGACCTTACTTTATTTTGAATGCCCTTTCAAAACACGGGACTGATAAAAACATTTTGGGGATGGTGTTTGCTTTAGACTTTGCATAAATTACAATAATTAAATGATCCGCTGTTGCATTTCGTTTTCGCCAAGTGTACATCCGCTGATCCGAAATCAACAGCGAATGAGGTCGAACGTTGATTCACCGCTGAAGTCCGAAGAAAAAGCATAGATCGTTGATAGTGACCAGGGAAAGTTTTCAATCTCTCATTATCCTTTAAATTTTAATATCCTCAAGGGTTTCCATAGGCACCTTCCCTCACAGGAAGGCACATTTCATAATAATACGTGAGGCAAGTAGGCTTGCAGAATAATTCTGATCAGGAGATGGAAACGGATTAGTAAACAATGCCAAAGCTTCCCCGCACAGCGGGGCGTAACGTCGCATAGAATGTAAATGTTCGGACACTGCAACCTGGAGTTCTTTCTCTTCCGTCTCTGGGCAGGTATTGCGAAAAATTGGCTGCAAATCCACGGCGCTAAAAGCAGACGCAGAGGGTGAATGCACTTGCCGACATAAGCTCAACCATTATCTGGCTGACGGTGTGAATATGGTTTTTTTTGCGCAGCCATTATGCCAACAGCGTTTTGGGCGTAGAGCCCTGTTTTTCTGCTGCATGAATGCATAATGCACTTTGCAAAGGTTTGCCGACTGCAAAAGGGAGTTTTTGGTTAAAAAAATTCGAGAGAAATGACAGTTCTGGAAAGCGCTTTGGCTGGGCAATAGAATGTAATATTACATATCTGTGAAACATATGCAGTATAATACAATGGCTAAAGGAGTAGTTATTGACTTCCTAGGCTTTCAAATGTGACAACATCTCTAAAGAAACGAAAGGGGCTAAAATAATAAATATGCGATCCATTCCCGACAAATGCAGTGGGCTTTACTATCAATTGCTAATTTTCGGATCTGTTCCTTTTCAAGTTTTGTAATTGATGGTCTCATATAATTCAGCCAATCCCATTGTCAATATTACGAGTGTATGTCATTTTACCTACACTATTCAGAACATTTAAAAGAAGTTACTCGTTTGCTCTCCAGAGTCACGCCATAGGTCCCTGAAAGGATCAAATCTATGTGCAGGAGTTTCTAATAACGTCCCAAATAGACGCATTTGGTTACTTTAGAAAGGGGCCGAAAGAAAACGCCTACAATCTAATCGTTAGAACTCTGAAAACTGCATCAGGACCGCTTAAGAGCCTAAAAATCTCACGAAACCGTTTAAGCAATTTTTGAATGTTTCCGTTTGACAGAAAAAAGAAGGGGAAAACCATCAAAAAAGTACTCAGTAGAGGAGGAAATTAAAAGATTAAAATATATCCGGGAGGGGACAAATTAATTCGGCAGAGAGATTCACAGATTTTTCTACTTCTCAAATTCTTGTTTTTGTGCCTTAGCAGAGCATTAATCTTTTCCAAATCCCCTGATTTCATATATTTCATTATCTTTCAACGTCGACGTTTGAAGCAAAATGAGTTAGATGGCAAGTGTCTATAAAACGGTTTGTCACTCATAATTGTATGTACCGCTGCGATTTACCAAAAGTCATATCTGGATCGAATTTATACTATGATCAATTAGCGCATTTTCTGTTTTTATCGGAGCTGGTGCAGTTGCGGACAATCAATTATGTCGGAGAAACCGGAAGACAGCTCCGAACGTGAATGGCTGAAAACGATGCAGCAGTACGGAGAAATGACGCCAGATCTCAGGTTGCGGCTCATTCGATGAGATCCGGCTACACATTCAAATTCGACGAGGCCGAAGTTCTTGCTAGAGGTGGCAACCGCGAGCTGTTTGAGTCATGGTTCACTAATCCACAGTCCATCAGCAAGCGCAACGACCTTCCCCTTTGCATAGTCCGTGCTAACCTTGTCTAGGCGGATTTATTAGACATGCAAGGTCTGCCCAGGTGAACACTGTTCCCAACGCCAGGGTCGGTGGTTCAGATGGCCGAGCAATCATCGTACCAACATCCAGCACACTTGATGAAATTGCAGCGAATAACGGCGCGAATATCGACCATCAAACAATCATCGTACCAAGTGCATTGATCCCTGGTGAGAGGGGGGGGGGTGAACCGCGCTAGCATGGCAACTGCATCCTATAAATACTGCAAACCCTTGTGCATGAACCAACCGTGTCTGTTTTTGTCTCTGATGATTAGTTCGAGCAGGGATCCGAAACGCTAGGCGAATAGAGCTCTTATCCCAGCGATCGTCTCTCCTGTTTCACGACATTTTCTGTTTGTTATGCAAAGTGGAATAAATCAGTTTATTGACATCAGACATGCAGTTGTCTAGCTTCTGAGTAAATAGAGAGTTGATTTACAATCTTGGCGGATTTTTGATGATACAAAAGCATGCTAGTATCAACGATTATAAAGCAAATATACTGAGCCTTCAGAGAGTCAGAAGGCGCGCCGAGGTCTGCGCAGTAGACATAATCTTGAAAGAAAACTCGGAAGTCGGTATTTTGGATTCATCCCAGCGCACCCAAATCCGCTTCCCTTTTATTATTTCGCGGTTCGTTTAGATAAAGTTGTTTCCAGTTTTCGACTGCTTGGGCCTACTTAGCAGAGACCGATGCATCTGATTCGTTAAATTTCCCGGTCGGTTCACAGTTTTATGTTTTGTGAAAACCTTTCAGATCACAGGATGTTTTGCATCTTAATACACGCGCTCATTGATCTTCTCTTTAATTGCTGCTAGACTTTCAAATGCATTTTTTTGCAGGAAATTAATTGTCCGGTAAATTAAACAGGAGCTGACTCGTAATATTTTTTTAAAAGATCGGAGATATTTGGGCAAAAAGATGCATAACTAGCAAATACTGCGTTATGTACCGTAATGATAGCGCAGGCACAAAGTTAAGGCCCAGACGCATGTTTTTTTCGAAAAAGACTGAAAACGTTTTCCAGAAGTATTCTAAGTAAACTTATTTAGGTCAGCAAAAATTTGAGTGTAGACAAATAATGCATCTCTGAATTCCAAGCGCCATGCAAACCTTTAATGTCATTTTAAACAAGAACGCGGCACCATGCAGAAAATAATGCATAATGCTACTCTTCTCTGTACTTCCTCTTCTATTAAAATTAAAAGCGCATTCTACTAAAATCATTAACTATCTGGGAAGTTTTTGAAAAGCTCTTCAGTATTATTTGTGTGAAAAACCAAGAACAAATTCGGAGAAATCAATACAGCGACCTTAAAAATTAGTTCTGCGCCATGATTTGACCGCTTGCGTTTGGAAATTTCATAATGCAACTGTATACGTTTTATGCAGCAAAAGGTACGTAAGTGGTAGGGTGAGGCATTTTTGCTGCCTCTGATCGAGTTGGCCAGTGACTTTGCCTTATGTATGGGGATGTTCTTTTTAAATAACGACCTTAAAAGACCCAAATACATACGTGGCTGTATCCCGTTTACACATCCATAAATGCACACCATGGGCGACTCCATCGGGCCCAAAAGCATGCTCCGTTTTTTTCCCTGTCCATCAGTCCTGCTGGATGCATTTGCGACCAATTCGACCGCCACAGGCCTTTCCAGCACAAACTGCAAACAGGACGGCCGCGGTGGAGTTTCTGGGAAGAACTCCGAAAGAACGGAAATTAGTGAAAGGGTGGGAGGGGGGGAGGGGGTGGATTCCTTCGTGGGCAGATGGGAGGATGTTCGACTCGAGCCGCCCAGGTATCTGCGCAGAAACACGTGGCAAATTACGTCGCGAATTAGCGCCCTGCGAACCTCCTTCCTAATCTTCCCACATTTTTCCACCCTCTTCCTCCTCCCTCTCCCAGATGTTCCTCTCTTTCCTTTCTCCCGCCTCCTACTCTTTTCCCCAATTTCTTTTATACCTGTGCGTTAATCGCCAATCAGTGCCTCTCTCTCCGCAGTCTCCTTCCACTACTCCGTTCACACTTTCCTTCCAGCCTGCTGGCCTACCTACCCCCAACTTTAGCGCATCTGCTTAGTTCAGCCAGCTTGCCTCCTCACACACATTTCGACCGCAATCGAGGTAGAAGGGGGGGGGGATGGGCGGAGGGTAGACGTCCCTGATTCGCGGCAGTGCAGATTTATTAGGCTGCACAGAGTGGGCTGCTTGCGGGAAGCAGGTGCGTGCAGGTGTGCCCTGATGCGGCAGCTAACGTGTTAACACCGAAAGAAGAAACGATGGGGATGGGGGGGGGTGGACAATTAGAGGCGATTTGAATTGGAAGCCATAAACTAGACCGTCGTGCCTGAAAGCCTGTACCACGAGAGACTTATTTAACAGGGAAAAATGACATATATGATAGAAAAATACGGAGCGTTAAAGCAATCAGCAATACTGGGTGTTCGGAATGAGAGTGCCAGACAAAATTCAGACAGAGTACTTTTATAACCTCGCTGTTCAAGTGCGCGAGAGGCAGTGGTTTGGGGACCGGCGGTGTCCGAGATTCTGCTGCAATAGAAGATAATGTGTTTTACATACCTTGTTCGACAGCATATGAACTTGCACCTCGGAGTGATCACTTGAAATGCTGGCGAATTTAGAAATAACAATAAAGATAACTACCCAACTG